TCAAAAATTCGTAAGTTATCTTTATACACTTTCTTTTTGTTTAAATTATATTTTATGAATTGTAATATTTTACATGATACTTTAATAATCAAGGTACGATGTTAAAATTATAAATAAGAACCACTTTTATTGGTTTTATTTTTTAAACCTGTTTTTCAATTTTTGATTTTTCATATTTTCTTAATTTTGGTGATTAACGATACTGGAATTTCTATTAGTAATCATTTTGTTTTTAGTTTTCAATTTATATTTATAAAAATTTTAAAAACTGTCATAAAAACTTGTTTGATAATATTTTTGGTTTATAAATGGTAGTCACAGTTTGTAAATTTGAGGAAAAAACGTAAACTCAAAAAATGAGTTTACATTGGTTTTTAAACAGACATTCAAAAATTTGACTAACAATTTTTTTTTCAATTAATTTTTTTTCAATAATTCTTTTTCAAACATGTTTTTTTTCAATTAATTTTTTAAAATTAATTTTTTTTCAATTATAATGTGTATGATCCAATTGTCATAAATAATAAAAAATAAATATAAATATTTTAGGTCTGAACAAACATATTTTTTAGTTTATATTTTTAAAAATTTTCAAACATTTTGTTGAAACCAAACGCGTTTGTAGTTTATGTTTTTCTAAAAATAAACTAAAATCAATTTATAAAATTTTTGTAAACATAAACAAAAAACGTAAACATTACCAAATGCTACCTTAATATTTTATATTTAAATTATATTCATGCATGAAAATCTAATATCTAATAATCTAAATTGAATTAAAAGGTAAAATTATTGGTAAAAAATTTATAGATTCAAACATGTACTATTTTTTTGGGTTATTATTATTATTATTTAATAGTAATAATTTTTTTCTAAAAAAATACACAACAAATTATTTTCTAAGTGTATTTAGATTAAGTGAATATAAATCTAAAAGTAAAATTTTAAAAAATAAAAAAGTATTAAATTAAGTGAATCTAAAAAAATAAATAAACAAGAGCTCAAAGACACTTGGCCTAATGGGATGAATCCCACAGTTCTTCCTAACAGAAGAAAGTTTGAAGAGAAAACCAAACCTAACACTATAACTTCTCTTTTTAAAATCTTTCTTCACAAATCTCTAATTTTACATAAATTATTCATAAATTCCTTTCAATTTTTATGTGAATTTGATAATCTAACTAAAAAATGGTGCATACACAAAAATATAACACTAAACATCTACATTATGGCCAACTATTAAATTATGAATAATTAACTTTTCATTATTACTTGTATTATATTGTTGTAAAAAATTTCCCATATTACTTTTGTGATACCTTATATATGTCAATGTCTTTATATATAAATATATATATAAATATAATTGCAAATTTATATGTGTTAATGTATTCATACATTGTCAATCTGTAATGTTATATTACTATCGAATATTTTAATTTTCTAACATGTATTATTTTAGAAATATAGTTATATTTGTTAGGAAAAAATTACGAAATTATGTATTGTTTTCCTACACATATACATCTATGTCATACAAATAAGTATCTATAACATACACTTTCAATAACAAATTAAAAATTTGCCATACAAATAAGTATCTATAACATACACTTTCAATAACAAATTAAAAATTTGCAAAATACCACAATCATGACAATAATTGTACTTTTTTTCCCCTCATAGAAAAAATCACATTATTTAAGAAAATGGATTTTGAAATTTATAACAATATGATATCGCCTCAAAGTCTTACTTATCAAAATATTTTTATTATAATGAGTTATAATGATGAGCAAGAAGAAAAACAAGAAGATATTGAAACAAAAATTATGGAAGATCTATCAGCATGCTCTCCAAGCAAAGTTAGATGATTTGAAGCAGGAATTGTCATACTTATGAAGTTAAAAAAAAAATGTACTTCATGCACATATTTTAGTCAAATTACAAGGAAAAAAAATCAAATAATACCCAAATATTATCGCAGCAACTCAATAATGCAGAGAGTGAGTACATCAAATAAAAAGTTTCAATAAATTATGTAACTTGATAATTTCATGAAAGTGACCATGTAAATACTTATAACCATGGATCTTTAAATATCGTGAAAATAATTATGAAATCCCTATATCAATCGAAATATTGAGTTACAATATCATTCCATTTTCTTAAAAAAAAAAAAAACTATTCCACATTTTTTTACATAAATGAAAATATACTAATGATTAATGTTATATTTTTCATCATGCAAGATATTCGTAGCATAAAAAACGAGACTGAACAACTCTTGATGTATAAAAATATATTACATATTGATATTAATGTATTTTTACACCAATAGTATGCAAATAATATGCAATAGTGAATTCAATAAATTTGTATTATAAGATGAACTATTAAACAAAATTGTGTAATTGTACAATTAAAGTAAGAAGTTAACAGAAAAAGATTTGTGTAATACTATATATTTAAAGAACTTGTTTATTTTTTATTGTTTAAAATAAGATTATAATCTCAACAATCTAATTATAAATTAATATTTATATTTACTCCCTCCGTCTTAAAATATTAATCCCTTATTCCATTTTTTATTGTCCCAAAATATTAGTCCATTTTCAAAAATCAAGTATAAAAATAATATAAATTTTCTATTTTGCCCTTCTTTTAAATTCATTAATAACATAAAAAGTACAATTATGACATTGATATTCTCCAAAAAAATCTACTATCAAAAGGTAATTTTGAAAAATTAATTTTTTTAAAGTGCAATAATTATACAACCAAAAAAAGTTGGATTCCCCAAAAGGGACTATTATTTTGGGACGGAGGGAGTATAAATTTTCTCATTTATCATTTAAATTTTTCAGTCAAGTATGTATTCATTTTTTGCTTAGTTATATTTTAGATACAGATCAATTTATCTATACAAATCTATATACTTTGTATGCATATCACATAAGACTTTAAGAGACACGTATAATTACAGTTCTAACAGTTGATGAAAAATAACGTACCACGTGCAATGCACGTACCCAACCATTAGTCCAATGTAAAAGATAATGAATTATTTCAAATTGGACGCAAATGAGAGTTTCTATTTCTATAACAAAATAACTCCTTACACCTATTTTGTAATTACTTCCTTTTCTAAAATTTAAAATTTTCACTTTATCTCGTTACACCCTCTATAATTTTAAATACAACATTATCTCTAACTTTTCATCTTCTTTTTGTTGGATTTATTTTCTAGTGTGGCCCAATAACCTACATATTTTTACATGTTTTATTTTATTTAGACTCCACAATTAGATAAAGCCAATATTATATATGCAGTTCAGTAATTAGAATTTTAATATAATCACTCTTCTAAGATAAGAAAGAAACCTTGATGGATTAGGAATTCTTTTGATGGAGTTTATCTGGCCCTCTTCTCTTCTCTATATAAGGATGGGTGACTCCCCTTTCATATGATAAGTATTTTCCATCACTCTAAGTTTATAGTCATCCTAATTAAGAGAGATAGGGAGAAGAAGGTGAGTCAAGAATTAAAGGTTCAACTCTAAGGGGTATTTTCTCAACTTCTCTAATTCAATGGCTGACAAAGGTATGTTCGTTTTATTTTTGAGTTGTATTGAATTCAAGATCCTGTAAAGTTTAATTTCGCATTGTTATTGGTTACATGTACTATTAAAACTTACATGTGGTATCAGAGCTTTCGTTTTGTGAAGCAATACACCTTGGAATAATATATATTTATGACTAATTATTATAACTCATAATTATTTAAATGATCTTTAAATAGTGCTCCTATTTAAGTTAGGCAGGAAATTCTCGGGGCCTCTTTCCGCAGAGATGCGGCCTTGGAAACAAATGGTGAGTAATACAAGCCACATTACGAGTGGTGAATGGCATGTAAATGTGAATATGCATGTTTTGATTTATAATTAATTTTAAACAATAATAATAATTATTATAATCATCATAATTATAATAAAGTACATAGATTAAAAGCAATCTTAGAATTTTGTTGAATCTATAGTGATCCCAGGCTTACCCTTGTTGTACAGTGATCCGGACATGTGTCCGTGAATGTTGGTAGTTGTTTATTTTCTAGTTTGCAAGGCCAAAATAAAGTGCACATTACATCTTGATCAAAAGGCTTGGGCTTTATATGTGTGGGTTTGAATAACCGTTTTGTGTAACCAGGCTCAGGCCTTGGAACTTGTAAACCCTTGGGGGTATTTGTTGTTTAATTAATGGTTGTTGGATTAATTGTATTATCGCATGAAGACTATTTACATCATGTAATGCAAGTAGGAGGATTCGTTATCAGTTTTACTTTATAGAGCCATGACTAGTGTATCACCATTTGGGCATGAAAATGGGGGCGTTACAGCCTAGATTTGTAAAACTTATGAATATAGAACTACATAAAAGAATTGTTAAAAAGGTAATATTAAGGTCGATAATATTCTCAATTGCAGTTATAATTAGGAGATTGAGACTAGCCCAAAGGAGAGTCACTTTCAAATAATTATAAACTGGGTAGGATAATGTAACTTATGTAATTTGACAGATTAGAATTGAATACCCAAAGGTAACATGACTAGCTGAAAAATTGCATAAATTACTTTAGACCTACATAAGTGATTCTTGACGAGTGGACAATAGATATACCTAAGTTTTGCTCAAAGGAAAGACTTATGTGATATCAATAGTTCATCATAATTCTCAAAGCTTTAATATGTATATTGTTCTATCTTATTTCAGTAAAAGTTCCCACCTCATTGCACTCTCTTGCATCGGGCGTCCCTCTACTTATTGGCTTGAATTTTTCAGAATGGTATGAACATGTTCAGTTTACACTGGGTTTGTTGGACCTCGATACGACATTGCTTGAAGATAAACCTGTAGACATTAATGAATATAGTACTACAGAATAAGTTGCCCTTTTTGAATCTTGGAAAAGGTCCAATAGACTCAGTTTGATGTTCATGAAGATGACCATTGCAAATAACATCAAGGCCTCCTTACCTCAAACTGTTAATGCATTGGAATACTTAAAGGCTGCTGAAGATCGATTTAGATCTGCTGACAAGTCACTTGCTGGCACTATTATGGCCGAATTGACAACAATGAAATATGATGGCAACAGAGGAGTTCAAGATCACATCCTCAATATGGCTGACAAAGTTGCAAAGCTTAAAACTTTAGGAATGCAAGTTGACGAAACTTTCCTCGTGCAGTTTATTCTCAACTCACTTTCATCACAATTCGGCGCATTCAAAATTCACTATAACACCAATAAAGATAAGTAGAGTTTGAATGAGCTGACTAATATGTGTGTTCAGGAGGAAGTGAGGTTGAGGGAGGAAGGACGTCAAACTGCATTGGTTGTAACTCATGGAGCTATAAAGAAAAAGAAGGGTAGGTTTGTAAAATCAAAGAAAAATCCACCAAAGAAAAAGAATGAACTTGGGGAAGAAAATCAGGCTCAGAATGGTTTCACTGTCAAGTGCTACTTTTGTGGCAAGAAGAGACATGTGAAGAAAGACTGCAACAAGCGAAAGGCTTGGTTCGAAAAGAAAGGTAAGAAATTTTCTTTTGTTTGTTATGAATCAAATCTTGCTGAAGTAACTTCTAATACGTGGTGGATTGACTCTGGGGCCACGACCCACATTACAAATGACATGCAGGGATACCTCTCAACCAGGAAACCGAAGGAAAGTGAAAGATTTGTCTATATGGGGAACCGTCTCAAAGCTGAAGTCGTAGCTGTAGGAACCTATCGATTGATCTTAGAGACAGGTCATCAGATGGACCTAGAAGACACTTTTTATGTTCCTTCAATTTCTAGGAATTTAGTTTCGTTATCCAAATTAGATCGTGTTGGATATTCAGTTTTATTTAATTGTGGAAAACTCAATTTAATGTTTAATTCAAAAGTGATTGGTTCTGGAAATTTATGTGATGGTTTATATAAAATTACCTTAAATCATGAGTTTGCATAATCATTAGTAACTCTGCATTCGAATATTGGTTTAAAACGTGGTCTAATTAATGAAAAATTCTCAATCTTGTGGCATAGACGGTTGGGGCATATCTCTAGAAATAGAATTGAAAAATTGGTGAAAAATGGGATTTTGGAAAACCTAGACTTCACTGATTTTCAGATATGTGTGGATTGCATTAAAGGAAAGCAAACCAAACACACCAAGAAAGGTGCCACAAGAAGTAATGAGCTTCTTGAGATAATTCATACAGATATTTGCGGGCCACTCAACATCCCATGTCTTAGTGGTGAAAAATATTTTATCACATTTATAGATGACTTCTCACGTTATGGATATGTGTATCTAATTCATGAAAAGTCTTAGGCTGTTGACATCATTGAGGTGTGCATAACTGAAGTCGAGAGACAATTAGATAGAAATGTTAAAATAGTGAGATTAGACATATGGGTGGTGAATATTATGGTAAATATGATGAGTCAGGCCAAAATCCTGGCCCATTTGCCAAATTCTTAGAAAAGAAAGGCATTTGTGCTCAATATACAATGCCTGGTACTCCACAGCAAAATGGAGTTGCTGAAAGGCGTAATCGTACGCTGAAAGATATGGTTAGGAGCATGTTAAGTTACTCAATTGTACCTATTTCAATGTGGGGTGAAGCTTTAAAGACTGCAATGTATATCTTAAATAGGGTTCCTAGTAAGGCGGTCCCAACAACTCCTTTTGAGTTGTGGACTGGTAGGAAACCTAGTTTGAGACACTTACATATTTGGGGTTGTCCAGCAGAGGCAAGAATCTTCAACCCACAAGAGAAAAACTTGGACTCAAGAACAATATCTAGATATTTCATTGGTTATCCAGACAAGTCTAAAGGGTACAAATTTTATTGTCCTAATCACAGTATGAGGATAGTAGAGACTGGTAATGCTAGATTCCTAGAGAATGGTGAAATTAGTGGGAGTGAGAAAACACGAGTGGTGAATTTCGAGGAAATTAGGGTAGATATGCCAACATTTGACCCTTATCGAAAAATTGTTGTTCCTCAGACTATTCCACAGGCTGAGGGAAACGAACAACATAATGAAAATCCTTCACCACCTCATGTTTCACCATTTCATGAAGATACCACCATTGAAAATATTGTAGAACCACCACAACCGGCCGTTCTGAGAAGATCTCAGAGGGAAAGAAAGCCTGTCATTCCAAATGATTACATGGTGTATCTACAGCAATCTGATTTTGATATTGGGATTAACAAAGATCCAGTCTCATTTTCACAAGCTATGAATAGTGATGATTCTTCTAAATGGGTCAATGTTATAAATGAAGAGTTAAAATCCATGGAACAAAATAATGTTTGGGATCTCATCGAATTGTCTAATAACTGCAAAAAAAGTCAGGTGTAAATGGGTCTTCAAGACCAAGCGTGACATCAGTGGGAGTGAGAAAACACGAGTGATGAATTTCGAGGAAATTAGGGTATATGTGCCAACATTTGACCCTTATCGAAAAATTATTGTTCCTCAGACTATTCCACAAGTTAAGGGAAACGAACAACATAATGAAAATTCTTCACCATCTCATGTTTTACCACTTCATGAAGATATCACTATTGAAAATATTGTAGAACCACCACAACTGGCAGTTTTGAGAAGATCTTAGAGGGAACGAAAGCTTGCCATTCTAGATAATTACATGGTGGATCTACAGCAATCTGATTTTAATATTGGGATTAACAAAGATCCAGTCTCATTTTCACAAGCTATGAATAGTGATGATTCTTCTAAATGGGTCAATGTTATAAATGAAGAGTTAAAATCCATGGAACAAAATAATGTTTGGGATCTCATCGAATTGTCTAATAACTGCAAAAAAGGTCAGGTGTAAATGGGTCTTCAAGACCAAGCGTGACGCAAAAGGCAATATCAAACGATTTAAAGCCAAACTTGTTGCAAAAGATTTTACTCAAAAAGAAGGCATAGACTATACAGAGACCTTCTCTCTAGTATCTAAGAAGGACTCGCTTAGAATCATCCTAGCATTGGTAGCTCATTATGACTTAGAGTTGCATCAAATGGATGTGAAAACTGCTTTTTTAAATAGGAATTTGAATAAAGAAATTTATATGGAGCAGCCCGAAGGATTTGCAAAGAAAGGTAAAAAACATTTAGCTTGCAAATTAAAGAAATCCATATATGGCCTTAAATAAGCTTCTAGGCAATGGTATTTAATGTTTAATGATACCATTACCTCTTTTGAATTTAAGGAAAATGCAGTTGATCAGTGCATATATTTGAAGGTTAGTGGGAGCAAATTCATAATGTTGGTGCTATATGTGGATGACATTTTGTTAGCTAGTAATGACCTTGACTTATTGCATAAAACCAAGGAATATCTCTCCAAGAACTTTAAAATGGTCGATATGGGTGAGGCAAACAATGTTATTGGTATAGAGATCTTTAGGGATCGATCTCGAGGATTGCTAGGACTATCTCAAAAAGGATATATTGATCGTGTTTTGGAGAGATTCAATATGCGGTTTTGTTCAGTCGGTGATGCACCCATCATGAAGGGTGATAAATTAAGTGAAAAATAGTGTCCAAAGAATGACTTGGAAAGAAAACAAATGAAAGACATTCCATATGCATCAACTATAGGGAGCTTGATGTATGACCATACATGTACCAGGCCAGCTATTAGTTTTGCAGTTGGAATATTGGGAAGATTCCAAAGTAATCCTATAATGGAACATTGGAAAACAGTGAAGAAAGTTATGAGATATCTTCAGGGAACAAAGGACTATATGCTCACCTATAGGAGATTAGAACAGTTGGAAGTTATCGGATACTCAGACTCAGATTTTGCTGGTTGCCTTGATAGTAGAAAATCTACATCAGGTTTTGTTTTTCTACTAGCTAGTGGAGCAATTTCATGGAAGAGTGTGAAGCAGTCCACTATTGCTTCATCTACTATGGAGGCTAAGTTTGTGGCATGCTTTGAGGCTACAAATCATGCTTTATGGTTACAAAATTTTATCTCAAGACTTGGTGTTGTTGACTCAATTGCCAGGCCGCTGAAGATATATTGTGACAATACCGCAGCAGTTTTCTTCTCTAAGAATGGAAAGTACTCTAGTGGTTCCAAACACATGGAAGTAAAGTACTTAGTTGTTAGAGAAAGAGTCCAGAAACAACAAGTGTTAATTGAAAACTTAAGCACCTCTCTTATGATTGCTGTTCCATTCACAAAGGGATTGCCACCAAAGACATGCAAAGAGCATGTTATCAGGATGGGTCTTTTAAGCAACGCTTGATGTGTATGGTTAATTCGTGAGTGCTTATTTTTATTTGACACTATTTGCACAATAATAATTTTGTTTCTAATTTTCCTGTTTCTAAAAGTGTTTGTACACATTAAATTGAATATTGATAAACAGGGAATGTCTTAACAAGACAAATTACAGGGGCCTTTCAGGCAAATAATTATATATCTCAAATAAAGGACTGGGTTGGTGAAGGTTATCAATGGTGTAGTGCATAGAAGGAAATATGACATAAATGTTATATAACCGCTATGACTCACATTGGTGATCTGAAGTAATCACAGTATTATAGTTTCTAATATATCTGAACTTATTGGCTATTTTTAAAAATTCGTGATCACGTGTTAAAGTTTTTAGTGTGGAATCCAATGAGTTAAAATTTTTTATAAGTTGCATATTTTTTGAAAAAACTCATAATTGCATCATAATCGGCTTAATGGGCCAAGTGAGAGAATGTTGGATTTATTTTCCAGTGTGGCCCAATAACCTACATATTTTTACATGTTTTATTTTATTTGGACTCCACAATTAGATAAAACCAATATTATATATAAAGTTCAGTAATTAGAATTTTAATATAATCACTCTTCTAAGATAAAAAGGAAACCTTGATGAATTAGGAATTCTTCTGATAAAGTTTATCTGGCCCTCTTCTCTCCTTTATATAAGGATGGGTGGCTCCCCTTTCATATGATAAGTATTTTCCATCACTCTAAGTTTTATAGTCATCCTAATTAAGAGAGACAGAGAGAAGAAGATGAGCCAAAAATTAAAGGTTCAACTCTAAGGGGTATTTTCTCAACTTCTCTAATTCAATGGCTGACAAAAGGTATGCTCGTTTTATTATTGAGTTGTATTGAATTCAAGATCCTGTAAAGTTTAATTCCGCATTATTATTGGTTATATGTATTATTAAAACTTACACTTTTTACACCCTTTATCATTCCAAACCCTTACTCTAAAGCCATTCCTTTCTCTATTTCCGACCATCACCTGTCTACCTCCAACCCTCCCTTAACTTGTGACCACTACTCATTCCTTGCCCTTGTAACCTGTTGGTATTTTTCCATAATAATATAAGAAAAATATATAAAATAAAATAAATAGAAATGATAAAAACACTTTTTATTATTATTAAAGAATGAAATATAGAATAAACTACACGACTAAAACTACATAAATAAACTATATTACATCATGGAATATATTATAAGATGGATTCCTATGAACATATAAAATAATATGCAAGAAATAGTTCAAATCTAAAAGTTTAAAGAACAAAAGATAAGAGATGCAAACTAAAGCCTGTGTGATAACACAGTTTTCTTAAAACAGATTCACCGCTTCCCGATGGGTATTAGAAGTACGCTGGCTCTCAAGATACGACCATCGAAATCAGCTAATGCAGAAACACCTTCTAAATAACTTTGGCGAACTTGACAATGGCAGCACTCTCTCTAACAAGAACCAAAGAAGAGGTTAGCAAAAGAAAATAGAAAAAAAATTCTTTGGTGAAAAAAAAAAAAAAATCGAACTTTTTATCTTAAAACACCATCTCCATTTTCCATCAAAAATCTCTCCAAAAATTATCCTACCAAGTTGGGAGGGAGATGCCTCTATTTATATAAGTAGGGGAATCCCTGGCTATGAAGGTTATACATCAATTGAGCCATCAAATGCCATTAACCAAGGTCATTAACTCTAGCCATTAGGGCTAGAGTTACAATTGTTGAAAACCTATGGCCATATATCAACTCCATCATCAAAAGATGAGAGTTACAAAAATTTACATTTCTCATGTACTTAATATATACAAATAAATATGTATATAATGATATTTGAATAAACCAACTAGATGGATCACAAAATGGATACTAATGTTGGGTCACGATCCGATCTAAGCTCAATTCTCAAACACATGCACAAGTTAAGCCCAACACAACATAGTTTAGCTCAAGCTCAAGATTAAGTCCAAGTCCAAGTCCAAGATAAAACCTAGTACATGCACAAGTACAAGCCTAAGCCCAGTCAAAACTAAGATTAAGTCCAAATTTAATCCCAATTTTATTGATACCCACTTTATAAGACATTTCTCATTCACAATTTAATGATTTCGGCTCATTATTTTTGTATTGCAATCTTTTCACTTAAGAGAATACAAAATTACTCAGACCCATGTCAACTGGCAATTGAGTCATACTTTAATTTCAAATTAAAAATGTTAAAAAATCGTTATCTACAACACAGCCACCCTCCATTTCCTGCAGTCCCCTACATCTAGGACTTTTCCACAGTTCTCGTTCACCTCAGCTTAATAATCTCTTGGAGCACCTTTGTGAAACAATAATGAGAGAAAGTGAATAGAGATTTACGGTTTTCAGACCTATGAAAGAAAATAAGAAGAAAAAGAATGAGAAGGTGGGCGGAGGCAAGAAGGAGGAGATTTGGGAAGAGTGGTGGATCAGAAACTAAGGAGGTGGTGGAGTAGAGGATAGCGCTAGATGTTAAAAGGACAAATTTGTATTAGACTAATTTAATTTTATGAAGTTTGAATTTTTTCCAAAAAAAAAATTGATTTAATTGACTTTTTGTTGTTCAAAATGTTACAACATTCTGAACAACTTGTAAAAATGTGGACCACTTATATTGTGGTTTCTTACTGTGGATTATTTTGGGAAGATTGTTATAATTAGTTTTTTGGTTAAAAGCTGATTAAAAGCTAATTATAATCAACTTTTTGTGAGAGAGTGAAGTGGGTTATAATGGCCCTGTTTGGTAGAGCTTATTTCCAGCTTATTTCAGCTTTTAGCTTAATTTAAGCTATTTTGATGTGTTTGGTTCAGCTTAATAATACAGTTTATAGCTTTTTATAAGTCAAAAATCAACTTATTTTTTGAGTGGGGGAGGAGAAGCTTAATTTATAAGTCAAAAATCAGCTTATGTTCATAGTTATAAGCTATAAGCTGTTAGGCTATAAGTTATAATCACTTTCCCACAGCTTTACCAAACGGGGCCAATATGAGAAGTAGATTATAACTCACTTCCCAAAAAGTCCCTGTATCATATAAGAGCAACTCCAAGGGAAGAGGTATATTGGTACTGTTAGCTATTTTAGCTCATATCAGCCTAATATTCTCACTCCAACGGGCTGGCTAAATGGCTTCCTATTTTCCCTCGCAGCTTCTCCGCTGGCTTCAATTGAAGAGTGATTGAATGCTCTCCAAACTCGTCTCTCCTGCGAAATCGATCTACTCACGTCTCTCCCGCGAAATCGATATGCTTCTTCAGTGTGAAATCGATCTCCAAACACGTCTCTCCCGCGAAATCTATCTGCTCTTTCAGCGAAATCGATCTTCTCCTTCAACGTTGTCTGCAACTCCCTCCATCGACCTCTTCCTCAAGGTATGGATCCTTCTATCTCTCTGTCTGCCCCTTCTATGCAACTCATAAACCCTCTCTCTCTCTCTTTAGATATATATATATATGTGTATGTATAGCACAAACTTTCCTTGTTCCTCTGTAAACTGGGTCTCTCCCATTTTCTTGGTTTTACAATTTGTATGCAATTTAAATGTGTATCGTCTGTCTGATCTGTGAGTTCAAACATACCTTGATACTTTACTATTCTATTTTTGTTTTTTGTGTTTTTGTGTTGCGAATGATTTTGCAAGATGGACCTTAATTCCACATATTCTAAGAATTTTATCCTTATGAAACAAATTAAATCATAGAATAAATCCAACAATTGAGAAATGCATTTCCAAGGAGCACATGAATTTCTCTAGTTAATCACTTTTGAATCCCACCTGTTGGCTTGAATCCTGTACTTATTTTTAATGATAGAATACCAAGTTTTTTACCATCTAGCAAGCATATTGAGTGTTGAGTAATCATGATTTAAAACCACCAAAGATCATGAGAATGCTATTCAAATGCAGAACAAGAATTTGGACTAGTAAGTAATTAAAACCATTAGAGAACTCACAACCACAGGAACAACACATATTTGGATGCACATAATACCCATACGTATGACACATTATCAAATTCAAGCAACTAGTGGTGATTAAGTCTCACTTTAAGTTGTATCATGCATCTTTCGAACATGACGGGCACATGAACAAACACATTTATATGCACATAATACTTATATGTATGACACATTACAAGCAACTAGCTATGGCGATTAAATCTCAGTTCAAGCTGTATCTTGTCTCTTTTGAGCACGACAGGACTGAAATATTATCAATGCAAGTGCTCTTTTAGCTTTCTTC